ATTCCTGAAAGTAGGAGAAAGAGGGAACTCTGGTTTAAAAAGCATTGCTAAGATCACGCCATCTAAAGGACAGCTGCTGCTATTTTCCACAGCCAAATGGGAAATACGCAGCATTGCTTCTCAAGGCAATTCACTGGTTACAAGGAGGAAGGTCAAAGACACAGGAAAGAATAGTAGAGTTAATTGACAATGATGCATTTAAAATCATATGCAATGGCATTAGCAAGGTAATCTTGTACGAACAGGATGAAGGCTTTGTCCCTTCTGAAATCTACCTTAACACCCTGGAGAGAAGGCGAAGGCATGCACAATTATTGACATTAAAAGGGAGAGAACAAAGCCCAACTCCCCCCCACTTTTCAGCCCTTCTTCCTTCCTGCCCCCATTTTTCTGGCAGGCAGTGCTTGAAGGACAGCACTGACAGAGACATGCCTCCGCTTGTGCCAATCTCCTCTGTGTCAGGAGAACACCTGCAGCACTAACACAGCTCTGCTCTCAGAAAAGCCCAGCACAGAGTCCCTGTGTAGAGCAGGGCCAGATGAGCTCCAGCGCTGTTCTGAGGGATTAGGGACTTGGTGATGCTCTTTAAGCATGCAAACAGCCAGGGCTGCCCACTGCACCACACTCGGGTGATGGCCAATGTCGTCTGATGCAGTGTCATCCTCAGGCTAGAGATAAAACCAGGGCATCTGCCTCCCCCATTTCTCCTCCTCCTCCTCCCTGCACAGCCCCCAGCTCCCTTATTAGTCCCGTACTCACCGGGTCTTTCTTCTGGCACAGCTCACTCTCAGCTCAGGCCTGCCTCCCTGCTCCTGTCTCACCCCCTACCCGTGCTGCCTATGCCCCCTTATGCCTGGCTGGGAAGGTGTTTTCATAGTAGGCTGTACCCACAACTGCTGAAATAGGCCCTCAGTTTGCTATAGCCACTGCTCAGCAACTTCTGCAGCCGACAGCAGAGCTGGGGAGGAAATGATCAGCCCAGAACAGGCTGGTGGGCAGCATGAGCAAGCCCCAAGGCCTGCAGGGATGGGACGACATCAGGGACTATGAGAGCAAGCACAGAAAAATCCTGGAGTGCTCTCCCACACAGTCATTCTTGGCACTGAAGCACGTTTTCAAACAAAGGGGGAAAACACCTAATCTTAAGAAGCAGGCTACTTGACAAGGTGTTTAATGGATGTTTCCAGACGAGAAGTAAAGGAGGCAGCTGTACTGATTGAAAAGCAGCACCAGTGACTTTCACCAGAAGGCTCTCGGTAGAGGTATGTCATACAGCCCCAGCTCAGATCAAGAGAAACAAAAAAAATTCCTCTATCCATCACTCTCCAGAACTAAAGCACCACGTCCCTCCCTGACTGCCAAAAAACATTTACCTGTTGGTAATACTGCTGGGCTGGAGCCTGGGGCCCTTGCATCTGTCCAGCCACAGGGCCAGCTCGTCCTTTGGGCATGGGCTGTCTCTCGTATGGTGCCTTGAGGGCCTCCTGTCCCACTGGGAGCTCCCCTTGGGCTCTGCAAAGCCTGTCCCGTAACAGCATGATGTTTGGCTGCAATCAGAAAAGGACAGCGAAGGAAGGTTAACTGCACTGCCTGTCACCCAATGCATCACACCAAGAGGCTGACTGGCCACACACTGATGATCTCTCTCTCAGAAGCCTGCTCTGCTTTATTTAATTGGAATGTCTTTTCTGCATGAGACATGGGGCCATTGGAACTGCCTTACATGTGCCTGCCTCCCGTCTTGGGTTGCATCATTCCCAAGCCAACCTGTCTATGAATACCAGCTGACGGAAGATGAAAAATCAAAAGAAAACAACCAAGTGTCAAGGTACATGTTTCACTGTGTCCGGCTTGTAGGAGGGACAGCTGCCCCTTTGGCAGCCACTGGCTGCAAGGACAAGAGTGTGAAACAAAGAGGGAGAAGAACAAGGCTGTGTACTTCTACCAGCTCAGTGAGGCCAACGCAGGGAGGGGGGAAACAGCCTGACCATCACATACCAAGATGCATTTCAAATGGCAGTCCTGCTGGCTAACTGCACCATGCAGAGACCTTTGTTCGAAGTACACCTGTTCACACAGAGAGAGGGATTAAAAAAATCTGAAGGCCCCATACCTGGTTGGTGTTCGCAGGGAGGAAGGTCAAAGCTGCAGCAATGCTGCCCTGGGCAGCCAGGAGGTTGGCATACTGGCTCATCTTCTCAGCCAAAAGGGCCCCCACAGCATTAGGGTCCACAGCCTGGGTGAGCTGCACGGCTTTGCGCAGGATTACGACTTTCTCTATTAAATCCTGGAAGATCAGGGAAAAAAAACCCACAACTAAGAACAACGGGGTGAAGTAGGCCCTGGCTAACAACTGATGTGGAGGACTGTTCCTCAGAGCAGCCCTGCAGAACCCCTCTCACCCAACGGCAAGCCCGAGCCAAGTGCAGGTTTCCCAGACAGTTACAGCTGCACCGAAGGCACGACTTTCCTAGCACGTGAGATGACAGAACAGCAACCAGCAACCACGCACCAAGTGGCTTCTAACAGCAAAGCCAGCAGCACATCGGGTAGAGTTCAAAGCCAAAAGAACTGCTTTTATTAAACAGGATTTCAGGGCCCTATCAGCACTAAGCATTGTCAACCAAAAGAGTATGCTTTCATAAAAACATCTTATGAGACCCATGAGAGTGAACAGAAAACATCATGCCCATCACTACTATTAGTGCTGGGGTGCCACACATTTATTTGCAGCATTTTAGTAAGTCAGTTCTTAACCATCTTAATCAAAAGAATCTAACAACTCCCGTGGGAGAGTTGTCCATGGTTTTCCGGTTGTTACTGCAAAGATGGTTTTCCTGATATTCACCAGAAATACTCCGTATCTTGCCTTCCTTGCACATCCCCAAATACCAGAGCTGGTCTTGGTTGGGTTTCCTCCTAGTGCTAAGTTACAGGAACATTTTCTGGTCAGTTTTCTCATGTTTTTTGTACTCAGTGTATTATATTGGAAGATGCTACAAATATTCGTTTGCCAATATTAACATGCAATCCCTCTTTAAAAATCTTATAACGGATTTAATGAGAGTGTACCACACCCAGGATTTCAACCATACATCACTAATAAGGACTGTTTACTGACTGTTCAGTAATACATTTTTGTTTTTCCCAACAAATCAGCACCTCAAAAAAGGCAAGTAAAAAAAAAACTTCTATGAGTTTCAGCAATCCCACATCATAGTAAACAAGCAGCCTAATTATGACTCCAACAATATTTTTCAATTTTAGTGTCCAAGAGAGCAAAGCAATGCAATCAAAATGCAAATTCAAACTGAAGGTAAATCTGTAAACGAAGCCCTCACAGTCAAGAGACTGGGAAGTAATTTTGATAATTCAAAAATGGAGAGAGTTAATAATGCAAAGCAAAACTCACATATACTCCAGTTCCTTCAATTAACTAAACAGAGACTCACAGCACTGCCAGGTAACATTATGTACTTTCTAAAACTGGTCCTTCAAAGGCCCTGAACAGATGGAAGAAACTAAGATTATACTATAAAATAAATTATTCCATAATTGCTTCATCTCACTGTCATCAATCCTACTCCCCCAAGATGTTTGCTATATGCAATATATTTCACTGCTAGAACCCAAATCCTGTATGTGCAACCCCCTTGAGAAAAGTCTTATGAGAACCTTCCTACAGTTTTCTCTCCAGATTTAACTCTAATTTATTAGATTTCTTCCCCTGAACATCCAAGCCATCTCTTCCAAAAGCAGAAATGTCCAAGTATTCCCCTAATGCAAAAGATGCAAGCATGCAAAGCCCCTTCTTTACCAAAACACTCTAAGCCCTCCAACTACTTTTACATAAGAAGCATAATAGCACAACTACCCAAAGAACAGAGCAGACATGAGGGCCATTGTGCTTCACAACACATTTTCCAATATCATATTTATGTGTTATTTCTACGAAAGCCACTCATTCCAGAAGGAAAAGGCTTGCATCCTGAGATACATGCAGCTGACAGCATCTAAGCTCTACAGTAGATCATTTGATTTAAGTGCCAAATGATTGCAGTGTGTTACTTCCAACATCTTTCTTAACAGAATTACCAACCTGAAGGGACAAGGGGCTGTTTCCATCCTGAGCTTTCGTCCAACAAGCAACAAGTTTTTCCACGTTGCCGGCACAAATGTAACAGAGACAAGCCTGTGACTGCAGAAGGCTGTCTCCCTCACTCTCCAGCCTGTTACCCAGGAAGTCTAGGAAAAATATGAGCAAAGAAGATGCTGGTGAATCACTTCGGTGATCCCTCCATTACTGCCGAGGCTGGGGAAGCCTGCAACACCTGTTGTGTCTCTGCTTAGCACAGTGAGAAGGGATATTGCCTCTGGGCTCCATTAGTAAGGACACACTCCGGTGTCCAGCACAGATTATCTCATGGGAGCCCAGGACACTTCAGCGGCATTTAACGCCATGGCAGCAAGGACTTGTCAAATGCCTGCAAACCTGAGACAGGTCAGAGGGGACAGTCCATCTGCCAACATGACAAAGGACAAGAGGCCAGGGTTTGATTCTCCCCTCCATCACCCACTTTTTGCAGTCCCTCATTTCAGGAACGTGACTCGAGTGTGCAACCAGCCAAGGAACTGTGATCAACAAAGCCGAGACACTGCTCTCGGCCAATGTGTGCTGGAGTGAGTCGTACAGCTCCCTAGACACCATGGCTGGCATCTGAGGGGCACAGGAGCGTCAGGCACACAGCTATTTGCAATATAACTTCCCTGTGGGTTAAACCCAGCCAGCTGTCTGCCATGCAGCACACATGAGGGGAGGCATGCTCACTGCCTGCGAAAGAGGACTCCTTCCAAGAAGTAAAAATTGCTCTTGGGAAAGAGGAGCGAAGCGCTTCCCTGAAACATTTCCACTTGTGTCCCATGCACAAACATTCCAAGACACCGGTCCCTTGGCTGAGACACCTGTCACATCAACATCACCATTACCCATCTGGAAATGGTAAGACACCAGCAGCTGTACACTACACAGGCAATGCCAGGACACAGCTGCTTACAAGGGTCTGGGTTCTGTGCCCAGAAAATCAGGGAACATACTAGGAACACAGCACCCCAGAGGTTCCTCTCCTCCTCTGCAACAGGACTAAAGAACTATATTATCCATCAAAGAAGCTAGCGAGGCATTACAATAATTTACTGGATGGAAGGAAAACAACTGTGGCAAAGTGTAGTTTTGCTATAAGACGAATAAATGCAGCCAGTCTGTAAAGTGTCCTTACCGCAAAGGGCTGCAAACTCATCTGGCCTGGCGTAAGTGAGCACTGCAGCCAAAGCCTCTCTCCAATTCTGCAGATCGCAAGACTGCACAATCTCTTTCCAGTTCTTCATTACCACTGCAGTGATGAGCTAGACCAGAAGGAGAGAGACCACAGTTAAGACCTTGGTAGGATTTCCTTTGTTTTTTAGGACACAGTATAATTTGTATCTATTCAAGTGTACTCATCCCCACTGTATTCAGGGTCATGGCAGATACTGCACTGCAATTCAACAGCTGTACAAGAGTACCTTTTACTTCAAAAGGAGTTCAGTGAAAATCACAAAACAAGCTCAGTTAACACAGAAAGGCCAATTATTCTTGCTACAAAACGTGCAAAAAAAGAATGCACAAATCTCCACAAGCTGAGATGGCTGCAGATGGTTTTCAGCACTGTTTTTGCAGACAAAGATAACATACCAAGTATTTAGCTATAAATCTTCTACAGAATGCCCAGCAAGAGGTATGAACTTTGTTTGTCAAACTGTTTCATTTGGCTTTAAGCTCTTGGTCTCAGTGAGTGGCAGTTGAAAAGGCTGCTCGAAGGAAGAAGCAAGTTGGCAGCAATATCAACCTGAGCTGGCTGCAGTATCCCTACCCTGCACCCACGCACACAGGCTGCCTGTCCACAGGCCCTCAGAATGAAATTCCAGTTTCTTCCATCTCAAACACTACCTCCGGTTATTTTGCTTCAGACAAAAGACAGACTTGGCAGCTGTGCTGCGATTTAGTGAACAAAGCCCTTGTCATGCCAAGACTTCAAGCTCAGAAACAGCTGAACAAGCAGTAAGTGTGCAGTTTGGGAGCAGAAAAGAAAAAAACACACCTGAACAACAAATGCAAGGTCCTAACTACAAGGTCAACACTCACTTGTTAGCACAGGCACAGATAACTGGTCAGCTCTCCATAAAAATACCTTTTCCCAAAGGATGAACTACAGTGAAGAAATTTCCCACACACTACAAAATTATCCTTCCTCTGATTAGGCCAGAGGCAGGAAAGGAGCTGGGGGTGGGGGAAGAAATCCTGCAGAGTCTTAATACATGAGATTTTCCTCTTTTCACTTGTCCACTACTAGAAATGCAAATTGTTCCTATCTCAAACTGTATCGCAGGTGATGACCAGCAAAATCCCTCTTACAGACCCTAGCCTGTGGTGCTGCGTGCCCTAGCTCCAAGTGACTGTGCTTTGTGGCCTTCAGCCCTGCTCCGGGAAAGCACTTAAGCACATGCCCATTTTATAGGCTGCCTCCTGCTACAGTATAAAATGTCCTTCTTTGACACTGGACTGCTAAAAAGCGACCATGAGCAACTTTCTCCTCTCCTCTAAAAGCAGCCATCCTACCAAGCCAATTGTCCTGTGCTCTTTTAAGGCCACTTCTCCTGTTTCATCCTCCTGTTGCTACTTTCTCATGTCAGTAGTAAAGAAAAAGATTTGAACGAGCAGCATCAGCAATCCCTAGCATTGTAAAAAGCTGAAAAGAATAACAATGAGCTGGCCACTGTCTCCTAGACAAAGGCTGATTGATCTACCCTGGTCATACTTAGCCCTCGTCTGTGCATGCAGTGAAATGAAGCATCGGCAAAATCTGTTAAGACTGATCACAAGCAGAAATCAACATAATGCTGCTGGCATCAAGCATGGGTCAGGTGCAATGCTTGAAAAATGTGACAAGATAACAGACTGAAATGTGTGCTGCTAAGACATTTATCTTTATCAGTGAGAATCTACTAGTGTATATGCAACTCAGAGACACTGGAGACAAGGTAAAGAATACTCTTCCTGTGTACTGATATCCAGGTAGTTTGCCTCTTTTCTCCTTGTCAATGCATTAAAAAAGAATAACAGAAATCCTTCTGCTCTGAGATCTTGTGGGTGACTTGAATACTTATTAGCTTCTCACAGAAATAAACTTATGAAACGTCAAGAAAACTTTTAAGGTGAAAAAGGGAGTTGCCAAAGGCCTACATGTATGTTGTTTCTTAACTGAAAAAACATACCCTGGTAATTTTGCTCTGCATCTTAGCAAAGTACTTTTCCTGTGTCCTAGAAAGCAGCTCTTGTCCGCCTGCGATGGCCAAGATAATGGCATCAGCCATGCGGTTATCGTGCAAGCAGAGATCTACTGCGCTCTCAAAGTTACCCGTCAGCAAAGCCTGGGTAATCAAACCGTCCACATCTGTAACAAGAGAGGAGTGCATTTTCAAATGATGACAAAAAAGTCACTTAAATATGCAACAGCAGGTGATTCTGTCCAACTGTACAACACTGTGCAAAATTCTCTGCAAACCAGCCTGCTCCAGACAGGTACTTATAGGTATGCTCAAGTTCATCTCCGGTCTCAAACACACTATGATCACAGCCACATCAGGTGGCACTGTCAAGCATCACTTACCTTGCTGCAGAGCAAGATGCTAGTAAATGCTAGCAAGATGCTAGAGGTCTAAATGATCTCTGAAACAACTACCCTGCATACAGTGCCAGAAACAAAGTCAAACCTAGATGGGGGTCAATGGCTTCTGTGTTATTCAAGATCCCCTGGGAGTTTCTGTACAAACAGCGATGTTAGCACTTCATGCCTGATCAGGCGTGTGTTCTTTTATATCAGAAATCACTCAGAGTAGCTGCATTTCAGCGATGGGGTATACAAGTGCTGTATACTTCCTTTCCTTCCCTAAAGAAGCTGCATTTTCAAGTGCCTCGAGACTGCTGTGAAATGAACGGAGTTAGAGGCAAGTCATGATAATCCTTCACAGTCTGTGCAGAAATTGCCTTCTCACTGGAACACCAGTATCAATGTCAGTATAAATATCAGCACATACAATGAAATCAATATCAAGGGTTTTTTTACCTCCACTAACAGAGATGTTAAACGTCTTCTTTGCAGGTCCCAAATCTTCAGTTTCTTGTTTATGGTCCTTCACCCTCTAACAGAAAGGAAAAGCATAATTTTTGAGATTATGTAAGCACTTAGACTATACATACACATTAAAAAAAATATGGCTTTTGCATTACAAGTTAAGGATAGACCTTCAGACTACGAATTGCCTAAGAGATCATTAACTTAGAAGGGAAGAGTATACCTGTCATTTGTTAGAACACTGTTTGAGCACAGGATAATCAACTTCCCCTGGTGCCTGTACAAAGTCACCTCTCCTAAGCACACTGTGAAAGGCCTAGGCTTATCAAAGGACCTCCAGTGAATGTAAACACAGCATTATAAAATCATTGTTCTGAGAGATCAGAGTGGACCATTTTTAAAAAATGGATGCCAAGGGGAAAAAGCGCTGGAAGCCCCAAATTTCTAGCCACCAGGGAAGGCTTATGCAAGCACAAGTGTGCATACCTAGAGATCACAGATACCAACAACGAGACACGTGGATCCTGGGTATTGACTTGCATATGTGCATTCATGCCCATATACACACAACCCCCTCAAAGCAAAACAACAGCCACAACCACAAAATCAGAAACCACCTCCCTTCCCTCCTCTTTCAACTTCAATCCCCACCAAGAACAGTCTGCCATAATGCTACCTAGGTTTCACTTTGCTCCACTTAGACTTTCATCCTTGAAACGCTCAGCACTAGGCATACACCCTAGTTTAATTAAGCAAAACACATGAACACATGCTTAATTTTCAACACAGAAGTCCAGCATGGTCCACACAGACTTAAGTGCTTTGCACTCAGTACAGGAGTGCTCAGCAGACAGAAGCTGATTTTTATAAAATTCCCCCAGGAATTAAGATAGAGAGCATTTCCTGCAAGTACTTGGATTTTGGGATTTCAAACAAAACCTTTCAATAATAAAAACATAATACCAAGAGGGAAGTCTCTCTCTACCATCAATTTTCACATTATAGCCTAAGAGTAGTGCAGAAATTGTCCCACAAACTGCCTCCTCTGTCATAAACCAGTGTGCTAGTACATGCAGTGGGAGTTCAAGAGTCTGCTGAGAACACCCTGCTTATATGCTGATCTGTGAAATTGTACTTCAGAGGACGAAGAAAAGTACACAGTTGACCACGAACAGGCATTTGGGATGGGGAGGCAAGTCTGAAACAAGCTTTATGTTTGGCTCATGAAAGGAGGCAGCATCTGGAAAATTATTTTGCTGTCAGATAACGCATGATGTGTTTGGTATCAGTTGAGAGCATGTTGTCACTATCACGGGAATAATGTGCCCATCCAGTTACTTTATGTATGTGACAGCACTCCCCGATGCATCATCGGTGCCTTCAGGCCAATCTCACAAATATTAACCACCCATGCTGGTAGGCTAAGGTCATGTTTGGCTGTGAATTCTCTCCTAGAAGAGATGCTTGTTATCAGACATCCAATATCTTCATGATTACATACAGCAAAATCCTTACGCAGTCAGACGTAGTGTCTGCCACTACAGCATCTAATGAATTAACAAACAATCAAGCACCTAATCTAAGAAGAGCGCTCTGTTTTGGAGTCCTTAACAGGCTGTTATATGGAGTCAACAAGTGCACTAGTGCAACATGCATGAGCCATAAACCACCGTTCTCATCTTCACAGACAACTGCAGGCAGGCACCAAGCACAGGTTTGAGCACAGGGAGCACAGGTAGTTTTGGGCTAACAGTTCAAATCTTAAATAAAAAGGGGGACTGAGGAAATGGGGGAGAATGAAGCTGGCCTGTTCACACAGTGATATTAGTATTTTCAGTGCTATTAACCTCACACGGCAGAGGCTGGGTCTTTAGTTCTAAATATAGACCTGTCCCCATATTTAAAACACAGGACTGAAAACAATGCTGCTCAAATGGACAGAAATGAACAGAAGCTGTAGGATCCCAAAGGCAGACATGGTAGAGCACAAACTGCCTGTGACAAACCTGGCTGAACTGTTGCAACAGACATTCTAAGGCAGCTAGCTCCTAAAGCCCTGATACTCGCTGTTCAGGTGCAAAGGGGATGGATGGTACTGTGATGTTGGTGGGAGCAATGCAGAGAACGGATGTTCCCCCTCTCCTCCAGTACCACAGCTGCATCTCTGCAAAGGGTTATACCTAGAAACAGGGCAGTAATAGCTGACAGCTTGGTAATAATCAACCAGAGGGAGGGAAGAAAGGAATGAGGGGGGTGGGGAAAGAAGGAATGCATTAGAGTTGTGGCAGCAGATCATTTAGTACGTGTTAGGGAAATGTCAGAATGAAAATTATGGCCAAATAAAGTCCCTGAGTCTGGTGCCAACTGGACTGTTACAAGACGAGCTCGTTATTCATTGCCACCAAAATCTATTCGCATGTCTGAGGCTGATGAGAAAATCTCAAGCAACTTAACAAGAGCCCACATTTTAATCATTCCAAATAACTTCTTGTATTTCCATATATCCTCAGCACTATGAAAAGCCAACAAAATAAAATGCTCTTAATAGTAATAAAGTAAATACACAGGAGGTCAAGAGGGTTAGTCTAGACAGCAACAGGTACCTCTCCCAAGAACTGCTCCTCTGTAGCCTGGCCTTCATCCCCCTTGTTCGGCACAGATTCATCAGATTCTGCGGGAGCCTTCAGCAGAGAGAAGATGCCATAAAAAAAAGCCAGCAAAAGAGGAAGAAATACTTTACGCTGCAGAGTATAGCCACCTTCCCACCAACAATAGCCAGAACCAGACTGCAAATCACAGAATGCATTGGCAATATATGCTTGAGTACGACAAACATGGCAGAGGCCCTCCATTTCCTTGCTCTTTGTCATTGCACAGTACCTTGTGCTGTTTCCATCTTAGCTGCCTGAAAACATGCAGCAAAACTTTTCTTCGCCATTAGGCAACTACAGATGACATCCGAAACGTCTATGACACAAAAGCAATGCAGGCCCCTGTTGTAGACTCAGGCCACTGCAATTACAATGGGCAATGCCTAAACTGTATTTATCACTCTTGCAGGGAAGTGTTACGGGACCGCACCCTCAGTCCTGCTTTTTTTAATGCCTGGGGAAGGTGCTGCTCTTGAAACCAGGCAGCAAGGCTCTGCCCTACCTACCAGCACAAAATGTCACAGTGGGCAAGACACAGGCAACAAAAAGGAAAAGTGGAGGGACATCACTGAGACCCTGAGCTAAAACCTGTGACTGACAGCCCTTCTTTGGGAAAGGGGGGGCCATTTGAGTGGAAAAAAGTGGTTGTTTTTTTAAATAAGTACCTTCATCCTACTGAATGTAGGAACTTGTCATATACTGGGTTATTTGTGACAACTACCAAGCGGAAAGAAAAATTATTCTTACTTTGCACCTTACCATGGCATTATAAAACTAAACAGAGCTGTACACGTGTTTGCTTACCTCTCCCAAGTCACCATCTGCAAGACCATCTTTATTCAGAGTGGATATAATCTAGAAAACAACAAAGATTTAAGTAAATGCCCTTTTATTTTAGAGAAGCAGACCTCTTGCTCATCTCTCGGATTGCAAAACTGGCACATGTAGCTAATATGTTGCTTGCAGAACAGTTAACATGAAACTAAAGCCATTTCCTTTCCCAGCCTGGTGATAGATTTACTGCTAAATGCCCTGCACCCCAAGCTCTGATGGAAACAACAGCTGCTCTATGCCTTTAAACCTTTAATTTTTAACTCAAGGTCCTCAAACCTCACTAGAGCTGCTGGAAACCACAGTAATAAAAATAGTATCAGAGCATGCAGGACAAAACCCTCTGCCTGCTCTGGTTAGGGAAAATGAAGCGGTGACAATCCTTGTGGAGCAGGGAGCCTGTCAGGAAGCTGTGGTTTCAAGCACAGCAGGCATATGGCTGTGGGCTAGGATTTTCCAAGGTACGGCAGAGTTAAAATGCCCAGCTTTTACTGCTTTGTGAAGCAAATCATGACTCCAGATTCAATTAGGGCCTTCAAAAATGCCAATTTTATATATAGAGTTTAGAATACATGCACAAAATATATTAGTTTGGCATCTGGGAGCCTGGGTTTCCTAACGCTGCTAATGTTATCTACTGTTTTTAGTATCCCAGGGCTTTAATTTACCCTTGTAGGCTGGTTTTCACAAAAAGCTGAGCTCAAATTGCTGGAGAGACTTTTCTCTTTCTTTTTTAATCATTAGTTTACAGTAGAAAGCAGAAATCCAGAACTTGACTTGCATATGAGAATCACAGGTTTTAAGAAGATAAAAACAAAATACCATGTTCTTAACAGCTTATTCCAAGAAGTTGAAATCTGTGACCCTCTTTATTTCCTTACCATACCAGTAACATGAAAAACAAGTTGAGATTTAGTGAGTTTATCACCTGGGTATCACAAATTTTCAGACAAGCTGTCCTGTATGGTTTCTTGACACTAAAAAAACATGGATTAAACTTCAATGTGGAATGCTTTGTTGAGAAACAGCTACATGAAAACATGGCCTTGCAGCTCCCCTCATCTGTTCCTCAAATACTGAAATAACGGGGTAGGCCCAGCATTTCAGGCCACTCAATTCATTTTGAATTGAATTCAATTCGCCCAGCTTCTCCCCATGCACAGGGCATATCAAACCCAGAGCAACAGCAGCAGTGGGCTCCAGTCTGCATGAGGCTGCTCCGCAGGACCACTACTAAATTTCAACTGGATTTTCTAATTGAGATCTGCTTTTCAAAAACAGGATTTCCCTTGCTGTGCTCACCTTTGACTCATGAAACAAAAATTTAGAAGCTGAGGACAGACTGTTAGCAAAACCATGATTTTTTTCTGTAATCATAAGAAGTTGGCCCTGGAGGCCATTTAATTTGTAACCATAATGACATTTTTATGGAGCCACTCGTAGAAAATAAAACATTAGTCTGATACAATGAAAATGAGTCAAACATTCAAATACACTGAATCAGAACTGAAGAAATACTGGACAGTTCCTGGGTGCAGCACTGAAAGGAACAAAGAGCCAAAATGCACAGCAGATCTCAGTGTTACAGGGGGATACAAGAATCTTCTTCCAACTTGGAAGAAAGCTCTATACTTAAGATGTGCAAGTTGCTTCCTGGTAATTCAAATTTTGCCTTTCCAAATGTAACCAGGTTTGATTTTTGTTTTCTTTTTTTGGTAAAAATGAATGGTGTCCCCCACAAAAAAAAGGACTATTCCAGGTTTTCCAAGGTGGTTAATGAAACCCTGAAGACTGCTTACGTGTTCTTCAACTAGAAACCCTAAAACCAGATCAGATTCCATGATGCTACAGTAGAAGGATGTCACATAAGAGTGACATGAATAGCTTGAACCAACAAATATCAAAGCTTCTTGATAGGTGAGAATTTCAGGTCAACATTGGACAGTCAGATGCAGACACACCTCTGAAGTCTGTTGCCTGCTTTGAAATTTTCATTGAACATCCACATTGCAAGAAGATGACATAGCTAATTAAAAAAACAACAAAGCAAACTGCTTGCTGTAAGAATTCTGAAGTTGCTCAGGAGTTGTTTATCTAGACAAAATTTAAAGAGCAGAGGAAGATTTCTAGTGTCCTTTGCAACAAAGGAATTCCTTAAATAAGACAACTGTTCAAGTCAGCCATGTTTAAACAGAGGCTCCAGCACCATGGGTAACAGTTGTATTATGGCTATCAGGAGAGTTGCAGCACTGACAAATACTATCTGCTGGGAAACGGACCGAAAATAATGTTGTATAAAAATGTTTATTGTATTGAATAGCCTGTGGATACTGGTAATTGCTCGTCCAGTCCCACAGGTAAATGAGCACTTCAACCATACGTGGCATCATCAACATTTTAGGCTGTACTCTGCAGATACCACTATCAATAAAGCATTTAACACAAGCAGAGCTTCCAGGCAAATTTACCTTCTTCCTCAGATTCTCCTTCCTGTATCCCAAGAGCTCAAGGTATTTAACACGTGAATCTTCTTCAAAGTTCACCTTTAAAAAACAGAAGTTAAAGAATATATTGCAATTCACAATTTTTCATTTTCTCCCTCACTGGCTTTTTACTTGACTGGCACAAATTACCCAGTGAGAGCTAGTGGCTGTGGAGACTGAGTGTAATAAAGAGAACTGAAGAGGTCTTTAGTGACTTGGGCACCTGAGCAGGTAGGCAAGGCTTCAATCTGGTTATTGTAGGTGATCAATCTGCTTATCTTCTTCACTTGGAAACCTCTAAATGTTCCTAGCGAGCAGTGAAAAGCACATCTAAAGCTGTCCCAAAGCTTTATCCCTTCTCACCGGCTCCCTGTACAAAGATGTACTGATGGAGGATGTCAAAAACCACAGGATACCTTCCCCCAAGCCTTGGCTTCTGCCATGATTCCTCACAAAACCCACAAACACCCCTGGCCCTGAGGACCTTCTTTCTTCTGGTGGGCCATCTCCAACAACAGGGCTTATGGGCACTATTCCCACAGCCTACACTTTTGGTTCCCAGCTAAAACACCATAATGCGCAGAAGGAACCATTTCTGCACTGGCTTTCCAAGTCAGTGGGGAACTCCTGAACTGTTGTTATCCTGTTACCTTTAGGAAGGCCCACACGTTTTTCTCAAAGTCAGCCTGGGCCATGTCGATTTTCTTCTGGCAGTAGCTGACAAAGCCTTCGGACTGCACAGCCTCCTGCAGCTGGTTCGAGCGGGCCAGGAACTCCTTCTCTGTTACAACCTGGCTCACGTAGACATGGTGACGCTGCTGCTGCTGCTCGATGCCTGGCTGCTGCTGAGACTTGGCATTCTCAAATGTAACCAGCTTGCCTCCAAACTGGAATTAAGGCACACATGCAGTATGTAAAAATACAAGTATACACTGGAATGTATATGAAAAAGTATGTGCATATGTATGCACGTGATTTATATAGGGTATATATACTTATCATCCAATAGACAAACATTCCTGACATCAACTCATTGATTTTTTTTTTTCCCACCACTCCATATTTCTATGCACGTAAGGAGCTTACTGAATAAGTGGGTGCACATTTAATAAGATTTATGAGCATAGCTACTCCTCTGCCTGTTTTTTCTCAGGCAAAAGACTGATTAGAGACTGAGAACTGGAGCTGTGGGTCTGTACAGTGCCCAGCAGAAATGGAGTATCTCATGATATTGCAATGTAATTACCAAAGAAACCTATACATCATTAAATAAATGCTCACACATGACATCTGCCCTGCTCTTAGCAGGCTGTTTACCAGTTAAAAGCCTACTGAGAGATGGGCAGTTTGGAGAGACATAAAATCAACAGAAGAAAAAAAAAATTAGAAGGGGCTTATAATATTATTTAATTCTATAGCTCGAAGTTAATTTACACAGGCCAGTGCAATAAATGACAGAGTCAGCATTACAAAAAGCAAAAAGCCTAGCCAAGAAAAAGACGGACAGCTGGCTCCTGGAAAACCAGTATGAATAAGGGAATAAACACCATTATAAAATGACACATCAGTCAGTGGCTAGGCAACATCACTTCTCTTTGATAGGAGAAAATTGCATTTAATTTGTGCATCAGATTGTGAATAAGCAGACATACGATGCTGAAAATTGAGCAGTATTTCAGCAAAGAAATCCATTTCAAGTGGACAGGCTAAAATTTTCAGGAGATCCCTAAGAAGTGGCCTGTGGGTCTAGAAAATAATCCAAAGGTGGAGCCAAAGAGCAGATGACTCTGCTCTCACAAAAAGCAGGGCCTTGCCGCCCTCCCACCTGGCTCCTCTGCAAATCAACCAGCCATGGAGGAGCCTAGCCGTGTGCTGCTACAGCGACTCCTGCTACTTTGATCAGAGCTAACCTGAATATTCTCCGCCACACTGACTCACATAACAGCTTCAAACTGCACTCAAGTCTCAGATACTTGCCCAGTTTGGTCCCGTTCCCCCCTCTCAATGTATATTTGTTTACACCAAAGCAAGCACTGCGCATAAATAAAAGCAAAGCCCTAATCCCAAAACAACAAGAAACAAATGCCTGTTGGCAGCAAAACACCTCCTTGTTTCTTTTTCCCAAGCATTTTTGTCATGCTTTTGCTGGCTTGCTGTCCTAAGCGCCCAGTCTGGAAGCCGCCACGAGCATCTCCCGCCATGACAACAAACAGAGGAAGTTCTACCAAGGTGGAGCACAACATTGAATTCCCCTCTTCCAAAAGTGTTTTGCAGGTGCCACACTATCTCCCTCCCTGCCTGGCCAACCATGCCCAGCCTTGTCTCCTGCTTACTGAGAACGATGCTCCCACAGGTCGCCGGATCCATTTGGGTGGTTTCTTTAGGGGCAAAACAACACTCTGTGGGGTGGTCTGCTGAGGAAGCTGCAGGGGTGGGAGGGGCTGTCCTGTACCAAATGGATCGAGGTTCCCAAAAGACGATGAAAGCTTCAATAACAAAAGCGGAAAAAAACAAAAAAGTGATATATCTCCAATAAACTAAACGTACGCATTTATTTGTACTGGATTGGTACTCCTGCAAGTAGGGTTGCAGACAGCCACTGAAGACTTCCCATGAGCCCATGTTTCCCCCCCCCCCCTTTCTGTCCATATTCTTAGCTAAATGTTTCTCAATACCTGGTCAACTTGCTTCTGCCTCAAGGCATCTGTGCTTCCTCCCATGATGGAGTAAATGCTGATCCGCCCGTCGAAGGAAGCCGCAGACAAGACAGCAGGGTTCCTGGGACACCACTGGATATCAAAGCACCACTGTGTGTTCGTGGGCAACTCATACAGCACCTGGGCAGCAAAAACAAGTCCGACAAATCAGGGTTTTTATGAAGCACCACATACAACAGCAACAATTCTCCTACCTGCCCTAAGATCAGTCTGCTCTTCTTGCCCCCAGCAGCCTCCATGTCACCATACACACTAACAGCGGGCAAACCCTGACAATCACCAAACAGGAGATTATCACACACCACTGCTTAATTTCCTTATCCTCCCATTAAATCTTCTGTTTAATCCACACAGGACAAACTATGCAGGCGGGATATGTCTGCGCTGTCCCACTGCAAGATGTGAGCTGCTGCTGATATTCATGCTAGCTCATTCAGAGCTAATTTGGGTATCTCTACACATTACATGGAGACACTTCCAGGCTCCAAAGTAAGTCTGTTTTTGCAGGAAAATTGGAAAAGTTAAAACCTGCACTCTGGGCAGACAGCCTCTCCTGCCCTGGAACGGACAAGCCCATCACTGCAGCAGACATTTAACCATAAAGTAGGAGAAACTCAAAGAGCAAAATGCTAACTGGCTTGCTGTCTCCCAGGAAACTGGTTTTTATTTTTAATAAAAACACGTAATAGGCTTCATCCATATGTAAAGCCTTCCTAACAGCACAGGATCCAGCTCAGATAACTCATTTACCGCCCCACAGCTTTTGTACTTTTGGGCCAATGTCTGACTTTTAGAAACACTTCTCACTCTGTCCTCCAGGATTATGGCATGCTGCAGGCAAGGAGCCCTCCAGCATGCCTGAAGCCCTTCTTGTGGTCTAGGGGCAAACACTCAAGTTGTCTGAAAAAAGGATCTGCATTCCCTTTGAAAGGTATCCGCAGGCCCAAAAGGACGGGGTGGTAACACATTCAAGTGGCCCTTGCTGATCTACCACTATTGTAGTAACCTACAAAATCCCCCTGGTTTGGATAAAAATTTTTACACTTACAGAAGGAAAAAGGCAATTGCAACAGTAATCCAGCCACATCAGGCCCAAACCAAAAGAGTAGGAAGCAAATACTTAGTTTAAGTGGGGCCATTTCTGTCCCTTATAATGAGCAGGGACCTTACTACTTAGCAGGAGAGAAGCAGTAAGGACAAACATGTACTATCAGCAATACCAGGAAGGAATCCTGCACCACTAGAACAAGCTCAGAAGGCACATATACCAAACACAAGTACATAGGATAGGGAGAAACATCCCACGGAAGCATCATTCTTAGGAACACAAGCACACCAACACCTGCTTTGCATATGCCACTGTGCCACCTCTGAACAGAGATTTTTTTAAGTGGTGTGCATACAATACCTCGCCTGTGTTAGGGTTGGAGCAGAGAATTTTAGCATCCTTCCCACAGCTAAGTAGCAGCTCCGAATCCGCCATACTCCAAGCAATGGCCAATATACCCCTGTGTGAAAAGTCACAACCAAAAAACGTTCAATGTAAATGCAAAATGGTGATAATTAAAACATATTTATAAATTGAGTTTCTACATTAGCTGAGCATTCCACCTCAAAATGCCCTCACTACTCCTTCCTCTTACAAGAGGAGAAATTTTTCAATGTTATCAGCACTTTATTTATTGAAATAGATGCTTTCTATTTTCTGCATGAAGAGGTATAAAGGTGCAGCCATTGTATCTGAAAATCAAATGCAACAGTCATGCAGGAGAACCTGGACACCAATGTAACAAAATGGTTTTTTGCCTGCAGTATCGTTAACATACAGTGTGCAAACCTGTAGGTAAGTTCAATGACTATGAAGTTTGTCAGCTTTTTTTTATTAGCAGGAGATTCAAGTCAGCAGAACCACTGGCAACAGTTTTGGTAGAAGCCGTAACACAGACTTATTGCTGTTCTCTCTCCTTAAATCAGGTGCTGGTTTTGGGCAATAAGGAAAGTTTCACTAACAATTGAGGAAGGACGAGAATTCAACAAGAATCTTTCCTTGTACCCAAATTTAAAGCATTTAGGGGACTGAGGGGCAGAGAGACTGTGCATGTCTACACGAGGGTGTGCCCAGGTGCACCTTCAGTCCATTATTCAAGCAAAATCAACTACTACTAACTCTTTACACCTCAGCTCCCTCTTCTCGAGAAGCATAGAAACAAACTAGCAACTTCAGTGTTTAAGCAGGATGGTGGTGTTTTTTATTTTGGGGTCTGTTCCCTTCAAACCATCAGGCCAAAAAAGGCAAGCCTTTCAGGACACAGGGTTGGTTAGTCAGCAAGCCAGCATATAACACTGCCTGCTGCTGGAATCGCCACCTTCAACTAAGTGAGCCTTCACAGGGAACTGAGCAAGTGAGATGTACAAACTAGTACGCAGTCACCAACAGTGCAAACACCATGGAGCAGCAGGCTACATAAGACTCATAGAATCATACTCCCACCTTGTATGGCTTTCTAGGACACGAAGTGGCGAGGATGCAAATCTTAGGTCCCACATCTGAATCACAGGCAACCTGTCATCCTCCGAGGCCAAAACCATCTGGGTAGCAACATCAGGGTGCCATGCCAGGCCTGAGCAGTGCATCTGAGGGACAACATTGTGCCACAGCATAAAATAACTAAGCAGCACTAAAGGACAAAAGACTACTAGCCTAAATATGTCTACATGCACGGTAAAACATTGTTGCGATGGAATTTGCAGCTGTGTTTCTGGGCATTATTTCTGACTGCATTCAGATTGGGATACTCTCCTCGTTTCTGTGAGTGAGGAGACTTCCGGCTAGTTTCCCAAGGTCCTCTCAAAGAGATGACTTTGCACTGTCTTGTTCACAATCTTATGTTTTAATGCTAGAAAACTGTAAAGCCTTCTGTACAACCCTTTTTCTCTAGTATTTTTACTGATATTTCAATAAAAGCCATCGTCAGGCAGAGGTTATTGTCATGTGAACATTGTATCACTAGACTACAATCACATGATGAAGACAGCCTACTGTGCTGCTGTTATGTTAGGCAACAAAAACATAAAACATTGAGTTACACAGTTTATCAGAGTAAGAGTGCAGTGACCAAGCAGCTACTTCAGGAGCACCCATTTGTAAATTTTGTTTTGAACTCTTGCTACCTCTTCAAAGTTTGTTATAGCAATATCCCATTCAAAGTATACAGAATTATACAAATATGTCACTCTCCACAAGTTCAACAGGCTTTTTTTTTTTTTTTTCTTTTTACATTTACACTGCCTGATGAGCAGGCATGGTGGTTGCAACTATATGAGGCAGTGTCCCCTGTAACCCGCTCAATGACAACACTCCTCTGTGGCACTCTCCACCACAGACCCTGCCCTCTCCAAGCTCGGCTGCAGTCTGCTCCCATTTCCACATCCAGACCAGCAGAAGCACAGGCCCCAGCTCCATCAGTAATCAGTGTCCTGCCAGGGCTCAGCCTTTGTGCTCATCCCACCTGCGATGCCAAGGAGGAAGCCCTCTCTGCCTGAGCACTAAGTCATGATATCACCTGCTCTGTGAAACTAGATGTGCTCACCCAGAGCACATCACCTGCAACCTCATCTCTCCAGCACACAAAACATGTCATTTCTGACTAGCTGAATAAAAATCTTTCTGTGGTAGCCCCAAATAGATCAGTAATGGCTTTCTCCAAACTAGCTTATCACCCTGATAGGAAATCTGAGTGTCTTGCCTTGCTTCAATCTGCATCTGCCTATTTTCGTTTAAAATGTTGACAATCCCTCTGCATATACATAGCCTTTTAAGAGAAAGCATTAGATATTCAGCATGTCGTATAAAACTGGGCCAGGCACTAGTATCTTTATGTCATGTAAGAAGGGGTGCTGTGACCTGTCCCTACATGCCAAGAGGAACCCCACACCTCTCCACAAGCACCTGTGCAGCCGCACAAGAGCTAACTCACCCGGTTATTGTGGTCACTGACTTTGATGATGGGTTCATTCTTCCTGAGATCCCACACGGTAGCTCGGCCGCTAGGGCTGGCAGATGCCAGGATGTGCTGGACTTGCCTGTTCCATGCGATGCAGCTGATGTCCTCAAGAGGCTGTCGCACACACAGAACAGCCTGTCACAACCTTTCCAAATCGAAGACTCAAAACCTGTTATTTTCAGGACTTGCTAAATGACTAATCTGCAAGGAGACTCACCCCAGGTACTGCGTGTGTTGTGGTTTCCTATGTACACACGCTGTAGAGTAGAATGCCTGAAAACCACAATTTATGAACTGCTAGTATTTCTCTGTAATATCCGCATTTTCTGCTTTACAATATGATACATTAGTCACTTAAAGACGACTAAGCACAACTGTCTTCAAGAACAGAAAATTACTCCATGAAAGTATATCCGGGTATATAAACTGCTCTTTTGCCTCAGATTATTAGGTTTTGACTTATAAAAAATGTTTGGCTTGGAGAAATTCTGTGGTTTTTTTTTATCCCCCCCCCCTGCTTATTTTTAATCCAAGAATTAAAAGCAATGTTAACCCAGTCTTTGTTGCACTATTATTTCCAGCTGCCATTAAATATATGGACTAAAAGATTTCCCAGCCTAAAAAAATTACTATTAAACATAAAAAATCCTATACAGGGACTTTTAACTAAGGTGAGCATCCTCCAAAATGCCCACATGATAATAGATGACTCAGACCAAACAAAGTATCCAAACCCACAGAGTTTAAACTAAAAACCTTTTAACTGAAGATTACTTCTCATCCCATTTCCTCACTTTGTTGTCTCCAAATTATCATGCAGTAATAAACCCATTTTCCAGTAACCACAAACTTCTTGTGCAATTTTGTAACAGCTATAGAAACGTACACGCATTGAAATAACTTCCTCCCATTCTTCTATCTCCTTCACAAGGCACAAAGTACAAAAGGCTATTGTTTTTCCCCATAGATCTTCTTTAAGAGACCCAGGCTAAACACCAGCCCTTAAGTATAGCAAATAAACACTCCCTGAAACCCGTGAAGGTAACTGCCAAACCTACTACCTCATCTTCTGACTTCTCAGTAGCTGCTTTTTATCTTCCTATTTTCCTCAATCTGCACCTTCACGATCTTCAGATTCATGCATGCAGTGAAATATGCAGAGGAAGACTAGAATATGTGTAATGGTTACGGATATTTAAAAAGTGGTGCAACCTGAGAGATTTGGTTTGTTATTACTTGTTGCTTGATAAATTCAACATTTCTCAAAGACTAAGGGGATACTTCAGCTTTCCCTGGCCAAACACAATTTTTAAAAAAAATAAAATCCCACCACATGAAGACATGAATTAATTGCTTGTGCAGCCAGCCAAAACTGCAGGTCTGTTGTGGATAAACACGACTGCACATCCAGGGTTGCTGCATGGGAAGCAGAGCAAACCACTCATCGCATGGACCTGTGCATGCTTGCACTTACAGGTACAGCCAGGAAACTGCACTCCAGGGGGCAGAAGAGCAGCAGCGTCCAGTCACCCTTGTATGGAGCTGGGCAAAAAATCACAGCTAGACACAAAGTGTGGCAAAATAGTGGTATCACGACTGACTTCCTTCCAAAAGTGTTCACTGAAAGCTACCTACGCTGCCGCTCAGAGAGTACTGTCCTTAAGGACATGGGCTCCTGCCGTATGCTTTGAGTCACAGGCATGTCACAAGGAGAAAAATATCTCAAACCCCACAGTCTAATAAGCATGTTAAAAAAATTAAGTACCAATAGAAGGCTTATTTTCATTGGCCTTTGGGAAAGCCACTGGAGGACAACATGCAGGAACATATTTTTCTTTATTTTGATATGGAGAGATCTGTTGTACCACCCCTTAAGGACTGTATCTAACGTTGCCAGAAATGTAGCTCATGGCTAACTACGATTAACTGCTACCCAAGTTAGACTTCAAAAGGCTTTTTTCCCTGCCCCCCCCCCCGAGACAGCTTTAAAACTGTAGGTTTCAATGAGCTCTCAACTTAAGTAACATGCATATTTTTCATTAGTCTGCTCTGCAAATACAAATCTGGTACCTGTGTCTTCACTCCTGGTGTCATTGGCGTGGCAAAATTGTTCAAGTCCCAGATATAGATTTCAGACTCATTAGCACCAGAGGCCACCAGATTAGTCTGCAAGACACATTGATAGATGTTAGAGAGTATTGTCAGCATCAGCTTTCACAGTCTTAGCTGCTGGGAGGCATCAGATCCACAGGATTGTGGCAATTTCTCCTATCAGTTCAAGATATAGCTCACACAGAGCAGTTTAGGCAAAAAAGCAAGTTTTTTTGAGATTGTAGGTAAGACTGAGTTAATTAAAAAAATCCATACACTGTACTAGACTGGCATGCCAAAACCAAAATTCCTGTTTTGTGGAGTGCCACTGCATGGCAAACACCCATGAGGAGGCTGCAGGGGCATAGCCACAGACAGGCGAGTGGAAAGGAGTAACACTTCTGGGAGGGGGCAGACGAGGAAGTGGTGCTGCAGCTATCGCTGCAGCAGAGCTTTGCTCTGGGCAGACCACAACATGTGGGGCCAGCTGTGTGGCATTTGTGCCTCCAGCAGCAGACAGCACCCCATCCACAGCGAGTGCGATCATCCAGAGCAATCCTGCGTCTGGGATGCAAAAGTCCAGGCAGGGCGACATGAGCCAAGGGCACCAAGTGCCCTTTGATCACATCCCGTGGCTGGTGACAAGCAAGTCCTGACTTCATAACGGGCAGAAAGGGAAAGGAATCGATTCAGAGAGGATACAATGAACACAGGGCAGCCTTGCTGAAAGCAAGTGTGCAGGGACAGAAGTGCTATTTAGGAAATGAATTCAACTGAATTCTCGCACAGCTGGTGGGGACAAGGAAAAACCAACCACTATATCTAGAAGGAAGTAAACGCTCATTAGTGATGGAGGAAAGCTTGTTGGTTTTGAGAGCTCTTCTGCTAGAGAGGCCACATCGCCGTGTTTCCTGTTCTGTCTCCTCCTTCCAAGTAACAATACTTAGAGGTCTTGAACCTACCCAACCCCCAAAAGGAGATACCTAAAATCTGATGTCACTGGAAACATGAGTGAGAGCAGATAAATACTCCCCGTGTGATGAGAACAATATTGGCACAGTACATGGGAGCTAAAAAAGGACTGGCTAAAAACACCACAGAAGACCACTTCTACTTTACATGTAAGCTGAGCTAAAAGACCCACTAAATTGACTATGTAAACTGACAAGGGGAAGGAATGAACCAGACACCTTAAACTCTTTCATTCCCCATCCTGAAATGCCAGTAACAGGACAGGTTTTTCCTACTAAATACAAACAGACACTCAAAACGCCAAATTTAGTTCATGCTTTTCAGGGGAGGGGTAAGGGACAGAAACATTTAAGGTTACAAGTTAAGACAGGCTACTCATCTATGATGGTATGTGATGAAGAACAGCAGAAAACCAACCTGGAACATGTTGACATCGAGCGCTCTTACTGGTCCTGTGTGCTTGTCTTTCTGGGCAATTATTACTTCAGTGTCTCCAGTTATGATTTTGGCTGGGTCGTACAGAATGACATTTCCGTTTTCACCCCCGGCAATCAGGACTCCAGAGACTCTCTCACCCGAGGTCATGCTGTGCGGCCCCCAGATCAGCTTGTGGTACCTGTAAGACACAGAGATCCCCACAGTCTACAACTATCCACCACCAGCTCCACATACACTGATGCACCCCATTTTGCTCACCCCAGCTAAAGACTCCAGACTGCTGCGAACAGACAGAGCAGACACGTCAGAGAAAAGCATTGTCTGCATTTCTGCTTAAGGATGAATCTGTACTTATAACCCCTTCCATCAGAAAGACGTGTCCCAGTTCTGCTCGTTATCAAGATGCAGGGTCATGACATGTACAACCAATACCCTGGTAACCGATAACATGTCTCATCTCCTGGCTGCAAAATCAGGTAAGTGCTCTCAAGCGCATGATTTTGAGCTCACCTTTGCAAAACAATAGGAGTAATCAAAGTAAGGACTGTAAGCCCATCCAACCGCAGCCTGGAGGTAAAGCTCTGCTATTTGTGAGCAACTCTTCATACAAGAGAGGAAAAAGGTGGAACTAGAAAATTCAAATCCTTTTCCATATCTGTGCTTCTGGATGTGCAAGCGTTTCATCTGCTGTACTGGAGGCTCAGCAAATAGTTTATTCACATCACAGACACGTGTCTCTTGGACCACAATCTATTTTCTAGGCTAAATCAAGATGAATTTAACATACTTCCAGAAATGAAGTATTTTCACACCACTGTGTCCATCTACAAATACCCAAATTTCCTTCAACTCAGTGAACCTGGTGCATAAGCAAAACAGCACTCCTGTGTATTCAGCCATGCAAAGAATGAATTTCTTCTACATAAAATGACACTGTCACATATCAGCTCTTATGCAAGCAGAAAGTAAATCCACATTGACTGGAAGGTGGCAAGGAGTTACTTTAGCATTCACTGTATTATTATTAATCACTTTGTTATCTCTGGACAACCATCAAGTAATTTCTTTAAATCACAGCAACTTCAGCATGATAAAATACATACTGCAGAAAGCTAGACAAAGAGCATATGCTGGGTGAGAAATATTGTAACAGCCAAGTGCTCAGTCTCCTAGTGCAGTGTTCAGATTACAGTGGGGGTTCACCAAAGAACAATGCTACAAACAGAAACTGGTCTGTGATATCAGACAGACCCTTTCCCTGGGTACAATTATTACACTTCTGCACCTAACTATGCAAGGTTACGAGAAATGGAGTGACCAACAGAGTTGTCTGGGCACTAGTATTACACCACCAGCAAGACTCAATGGGACTTAAGGTAATCCAAAATGAAGGCAGAAAACGGTGAGGAACAAAAACCAGAGTTAACTGTGCAATTACTTTCCTCTTGCCCTTTGCTCTTTCCAAGATAAAGTATGGCTCTATAAAAGCAGTGCAAAACTTCCCTTGGAGGACAATTAACAAAGCTTGTTGCAGGATTTATCTTTTATGGGTTTAATCACCTGGACATTTTCGTTTGCTGCAAACTAAAATAAAGCCTGACGTATACATTGGTAGCTGGAGCACTTCTTGCTATCTTTAATTAAAAAAAAAAAATTCAACCTCCTTTGTAATGGATTTTCCGTGGCAAAGTCAAATTCTTGTGTTGCCTACTAAGGGGAAGTACTTTCAAAGGAGCACTGCATCCTGACTATAAGGAGTGTTTTTTGAAATTCAGTAAGCAAATGTCACTTGGCAAGCCTTGAAAAATCTCAGTCGTAGTTAAAACAAGGTAGAACAACGAAATTTTAAAAGATCAAACACCTCATCCTGCTCTCAGCGGGTCAGTAGGACATGTTAACATCAGCTTTGCCCACAGTGCAGGGCATTAAACAGAGACTGTGGCTGTTTCTCACAAGCCCCATGTACTAAAATGTGGACAACTGCAGGGCACAGATTGTGAGCTGCCTGCCAGCACAACTGCTCTGCCAGCCCCACGAATCATTACAATAAAACTGACATGGCACAAAGCCAGTAGCCTAACACCTTGTGCTTCCTCCTGCAAAAGCTACTGCAACCGTTACTTACCCAAATCAGGAAAGCATCCCTAAGCAGGGTCACAATCTTATTGCGTGCAAATGCACACAATTTCAACCCCTCTCAAGTTGTTTGTAGGCAACACCTAACCTCTAAGAACTCAGCAAACTGCATTTGGTCAAGAACTTTAGGAAACAGTTGTAGGTCCTTAGGTCTTAAAGTTACAGCTTTAGAACAGATAATGAAAACTCAAGTCCAGTTAATTGCTACTCATGTCAGAGGTGGGGGAGATGGCAATTGCTTCTCTAGAAGTGTCAAATTCTCACTTGAACATACTGGCAAATGCTGTAATTGCCTGCACCTCCAGTCATGTTTTTTCAGGTCACCAGGGGAAAGAATGGTTATGCTGACACTGTAGCTGGTATGAAAAAGTCATGGATCCCATCCAATGGCAATGAAAAGTTTCACCTCCTTCTCTACCCACAGAAACATCCTGCACTTCCATCCATGTTGTTTCAGCTCACTCACAAGCAGCAGCCACTGGACCAGCCACCAGAGAGCCGCTAAAAGTGCTGCCGATATGGAAATTGGACACTGATGATAACAGTATTTCTCTGGACAAGTGCATGGTAAGGAACTAAGAGCTAAGTGGAGTTGTACAGTTGGGAACTTGGCCACACAACATGACCCAGTTTAGTTATGTTACAGGAGTCTCCCTGATATACCTAAATGCAAACAGGATGGGGCAATGTGAAAAGTTATGACTGCATTTTCATAATTTCACATTTTCTTCTGTTCTCTGGAGAATCCCAGAGGCCCCCCAATATAAATGGTCTGCGTACATATTCAAACCTACCAGCCAATGTCAGATTTTTTAGGTTTATGTCAGAGCATGAGCTGCTTGCAACTCCTCAAAGTCCAAGCTCACTGCCTTCACAATGACACCTCACTGTCCCACAACATCAGTGGCACTCACGTGCCTTCACCCTTCAGCGCTGAACTTCTGCTCCTCTCCTTAACAACTGCAGATAAACCTCATGAAGTGGCCTTTCCACACGCACCACGTATAACAGTTCCACAGCCATTACTTTTCCCTTACAACCCCACTGCTTACCTGTGAGAGGAGGAGAAGGTGGCGCAGGACTTCATATCCAGCGAAGGGTCTGATAAGTCCAACTCAAATATTTCTAGAGAAGCATTTGTACTGAAAGTTGCATCCAGCTGCTGAGCTGATGTACCTGCAAAGAAACGTGCTTGGCAGTGAGAAAGCCATGATACACAACAGAGCAACTGCAAAAGCAGTACAAGGAAGGGCATAAAAACATCATCCTTGCAAAAAGGACCTGAGATGGGGTCAGGTTTCTGTTTCTGTTATTTAGATGTAGTTCTACATAACTCTCCTCCCCATGGTTCCCCCTTTGGGGGTTTCTTAACCAATATGAACAGGAAAAGCTTTGGGCAAGTGCCTCTCTCTCCCTGACGATGCACAGAAAACTACCAAAGTTACAAATGAACAGCAAGGGACAGTGAACTAGCAGTTAGGATTGCTGTCACCTTACCCTGGCAGAAAGAAGAGGATGCTTGCTGTCACTTGCAGAATGCAAAGCATGTTTTCATGCATGGCACAACTGGAGAACTCCACTAAAGGCACAGCACCATATACCCCGCTCCAGCCTTCAGGACACAAAATAACTCCTACAACTTTCAATTATGCCCACTTCATGGCAGCCACTACAGGTAGCCCGAGGCCTGCTAGCACATGCTTCCCAGAAACTCACCTGTGGCCAGGTAAATGGGGTGCTGCTGGGCAGGGCCCCACGCCTGCATGGCAGTACGATCAATTTCCTTCAGCTTCATTTCACTAAAAAATAAAACCAAGACAGGTAATGCTTAAACGGAGCACGGGGAGACTGCACTGCCACGGATTCAGCAGCTGCATTAGGACTTGGCAGAAGCAGCCAGGGTGATCGTTTTCCTAAAGATATCCTACAGACAGACAGACACCTAAGCCATCCTCTCCAGGGCACACCCGGGGGGAAGGGGAGGAATAATTCTCCGTTGCAGCATAACATCGACACGTAGAGGAAACTGATGGTTGCCGAACAGACCATAACACAGGAAAACGCGGGCAAAGCTTCAACTGCTCTGAAAAACCCTCTTCTAGCAGCATCAAGGCACGCATCGGGCACCCTGCAGCAGCTTTCAGCCTTATCCCACGAAACAAATCCACCCTCGAGAAAACCCTCGCTACACCCTCGCCACCAAACACCCTCAGCAGCCAGCCAGATCAGAGGACGAAAAACGGTTTAAAAGCCTCCACCGTCTCATTTTTGGGTCTTATTTCAACACCCTGGGGCTTCCACCGCCGCGGAAACACCATGCACGGCCAGCGGGCGCCTCGCCGACCGGCACCTACTCCCGTTTCCGACAGGAACTGAAGGAAAAAAGGTGGAAAAAGAGGGTTTCCCCCCTCACCTCCGC